AGACAGGCAGTACTCTTAATTGGCTCATTGGTGACTTAGTACAATTGTAGCCATCTATGTGTAAAAACAATCAAACAAGTCGACTCACAGTGGACATGGCATGTACATACGTGCCATCCCTGGCGGCAATGGGTTAACCAATTTGTATTTATTTTTTCAGGTGACTACCCGAGAGATGTGACCTGTGGCATATGAAACTCTAAAGCCTCCTCTATTGTTAGGGAGAAAGGGGGAGGGTGGGGTCTCCAAAGACTTAGGTGTTGCATCCAATCGATATACCCTCCATTACTGGTCCAAAATGTATGTAGTGTGTGATATCCTAAATGTATGCACTTACATACTGTTCATCACACACTGCATACCTATTGGGCTGGGAACTAAAAAAGAGAAAAACTTCAGGAATTAATTAAATTTTCTATTTCAATGTAAAACAAAAATATCTGTTAAAAAATAGAAGAAAACAAGTTTAAAGAAAATGAACTGATAAAAATATCTATAGCATACATTAACCATATTTAACCCATTCGCCACGGATTTATGTTCTGTCCCCTGTTGGTTTTGGTGAATTTTGCTACCTACAGATGGCTCCACATGTACTCAGCCGGCAAGGAGTCTATCAGTAGGCCCTAGTTACCGACCCTGATTTTCCCATTCATTGAATTGGCTTTCGATGCTGTTATTATTGTTACTGATGTTATGATGATTGAATTGATTGAAATAGGTAGTTCTTGATAACTGGCTATTTGGTGATTAAGAACTTGTAGAGCCATCTAGGTGTAAATACAATAAATAAACGTGTATCAAAGTGGGTATGGCATCTATTCTTGCCAACCGCGGCGAATGGGTTAAGGGATCTGATCAATGTGGTTACAAGGAGGTTTCCTGTCAAACAATACTTCCATATTCAGAATCTCGAGTATGTCAGACTAACCCATTGATAAGCATAACAATGAATGAGGAAAGGATGAACAAATACAACATGAAAGGGTTATTCTGCATTTTTTTTTCTTTCTTTCTTTCTTTCTTTCTTTCTTCTACAAAGGCTCTGAAAAAGAGTTTCAAAAGAAACTTATGCAAGTAAATCTATCTTCCATCCAAATACAGACATCAGCTCAATCCAGACCATCTAGTGCTACCAAAGCTTCTCCATCTGGAATTAGAGTGTCTGACCTTAGTCCAGCATTCATGAACCACAAATTATATCCAGGACAATGGCCAGGAAGTACTCGCAATAAGTGTAGCCATCTATGTGTAAAGACAATTAAACAAGTAAACTCACAGTGGGCATGTCACAGATATGGGACACCTGTCGCGAATGGGTTAATAGTGGATATACAAGAACTCCATCCTAATTGCCCACTGAATCTGATATTCCTCCAAGAGCTGTGTGCATTCATGGCGAGTCATTCCCATTGCCCCAACTTTCATCCAGATTTTTCATAATTGCACATTTCCGTCACCCTAGCCCTCAGCCAAACTTTTCCATAATGACATATTCCCAACATCCAGCTGCCAGCCAAATTTTCTCATGACTTGACAGTTACATCACCAGGATCCAGTGGGTTGAATAAGGAACCTGTTCAAGCTTCTGTTCAACAACTTAATCAAATAACCATGTTATCACATACAAAGAATCCATTCACACTTTGAATTATACATATGCGGCCACCTATTTCTAACATTCACAATCTACTACAAGTCAAGTTTTTAGAGTGTATACTTTTTGTCTTTCTTTTTCCATTACTTATATTTTATTTTACTTTTTCATTCTCTACCTTCCTATCCACCTACCTACCTACCTAAGAACCTTCCTACCCACCTACCAACCTTCCTACCTATTGACCTCCCTACTTACCTACCAACCTTTCTTCCCTTCTAGCTGATTGTCAAGATTTCTTATAGGAATAGACTAATGTTAGGTTAGACTTAGGATTAGGTTTTCAGCAAAAAAAAATATTTTTAACCCAATTCTGACAGGCATGGCATGTACATACATGTATGTACATGCCATGCCTGCTGTGAGTTTACTTTATTAATTGTTTTTACACATAGATGGCCATTATCTGAGGTTTTCTCCAGGTTCACATAGTCCTGTTGTAAACATTTATCCAAGAATGTACCTCTGACAATATGAGTAAAACTTAGACAGTGCAAGAGGCACTGAGAGGCACCAAAAAACATTACCATAAAGTTATCACAAGCTGCAATCTTCCCATGTGTTGTGAGTTTCCATGCCCTCTGGTGCCTGCCATTGCCCACTCTATGGCATTTTCCAGATATTGATGATACCCCATGCAACAGACGTAAAGAACGGCAAGCTCCTTTAATCACGATTCTTTTTGCTGGTGTGCAGATCCATAGTTTTAGCAATGCACAACAAATGCAAGTGTAACCTGTATTATTGATAAACTTTTAATAATGACCAAGCAAAATGGTTTAACAAATATTGTTGATGCTATTTTGAAAATAGTGTGTGAAATATAATTTGTATTGTCAGTGT